GTCATACTAGAAGCAAGCAACATTTTCAGTGTTAGTAAATATATGACAAACACGTGTGAATATGTGTGCTCATTTTAACCTTTGACGAGAACATAAACACAGCTTCAGTCTGTACCTGAAACATGGCAATGTGCAGCTGGCTCCTCTGCAGGCTGGCCTTGGTGGCTTCCAGGTTGGCGTCTAACCTCCTCAGCAGATCTACTTTCTTCCAGGCTGTGTCGTAGGAGGAGGCCAGCACTGTGGCTCTGTTCAGCAGCAGCTGGGAGACCCGGCCTGATGCCAGGCTCTGCTCCACTGCCTTCTTACAAAGCTCATCCAGAGACACCTTCAGAGTCAACACAGACAGTGCTTAAGTCAAAATAAGGTCAGATACTGATTGATATGTGGGGATCTTTTTGTACACTGAAACAGTAAAAAGGGTCTATGAGTACTATCCAGAATCATACCTATACAGTATATAAGTGATAATGCAGTGACTCAGGTACAGGCCTCTACAGTACAAGTATCTGACTTGCATATGCGATTGCACTGTGCGAATGAGAGAAATGATTTGGCGCTATACAAATAAAACTGAATTGAATTGAATTGTGGTACCTTGCTCTCTGCACCAAAGTCTTTTGCCTCCACCTGGGCAACAACGTCCAGGCCGAGGGCAGACAGGGTGCTGCAGAGGCCCAGGCCGAGGGCTTGGCTGGGCAGACCCATGAGCATCTGCCGAACAAACTCCGCTGTGAAGGCTTGGATGGGGCGGGTCATCTGCTCCTCACTGACCACCGTCACACCTGAGCCTGCTGCACTGGGCCGCCGGTACAGAGGCTTCCCCAAACCAACTGGTCCATTTGTAGGTAACAGGTCCTCAGCTGGGGGGCAGTTACCTAAACACACCAGAATTGTCACAGACTTAATATAATACTAACAGATTCATTTTTTAAATTCATTTTCCAAGCAAAAATGTTAATTGTTTGTGATGACGTTACATGAACATTTTTCACATTTAGTTCGACATTTTATAAACCATTAGGCAGATTAATCGATAATGAAAATATTTGTTAGTTGCAGCCCTTCTGAAAAGCTAACCAATGAACTTTTACCACTGATGATTATTGACCATGAATACAATTTAAA